GTAAATATACACAGACGTCATCGCGCTACAATTTAAATATTTTAAATAATACTTAAAGCTGTACAGAGACTTTTACAGAAGGAATGTATTTCGAATAAAATAAAATAATTTTTACGTTCTCTGTTGTCATTTTGTTTTATAATTATATTATATATTATATATTATATTTTATAATTAAATATCATAATATATATTTATAAAAAATATTAAATATTATAAATATTTATATTTATAATATTTTATAATTTATAATTGTTTTATTACCTTTAAAAAAATTTGATCACTTTTAAGACAGACCTCGCACAATATTACTGCATCATTTCAATTTCGTCGTTAAATGAATCTCGATCAAGCACGACTCGATTGTAGTCTCTTTCACTCAATCTATGTACACACGTAGATCGTTCTACACTTTCACACTTTCAAATCTCACAGACACAATGAAACGAGTCTTTTCGCGCATGATACATGCTCATTTCCAATTTCATCCGTCACTATCTATCGACAAGCCTCTAATATAAATATTTGTGTGAATCTCACACAAATTCCAATAGCCGTGCCCGCGGAAACGAAACGAAAACCAGGAAAATATACGTTTACACAAACAGCCACACGCTCTCTCTGACGTTAATTAAAATTATCCAACATTTCATTTATTCGGAGCTTCCGTATCGATCGGCATCGCGATTGAATAAATAAAGACGATGGAAAACATGTTTATTTTCAATCGTTGAAAACATGAAACCGCGGGCAAACTGGGAAAAGTGAGATTTAATTATTCTCCGTGGCAAAACAGAGTTAGAACGTTCCTTATCCTTTGTGTTTCGAAAGTTATGGACGAGAATACCAATAATGAATCCACGGACGTCAATAGATTGGCGCTTAGATTGAAGTCAAGTGCGAGGAGAGACTCACGACGCTTTACAATTGGAAACACTTTATTCAATCAAAAAGAAATTTGTTGCACTATGGAAGATTTCCAGCGTCATACAGATCCATTGACATGTGCTTATTAAAACACATAAATCTGAAAGATCAGAGACGTTCTGTTGATTTAAAAGTCAATGTAGTCTCGCGTGTATTTTAATATCTATTTGTAATGTTTGTAATATTCGTATACGTTTACGTTGTGTTACACGTAACATTTATGTACATATATATTACACTACACATAATATTTTTATACTAATATTTTTATATATAATATATAATATAAAATATTATGTACGTAATATTTGTGTACATATATATTATATTACACATAATATTTTTATATATAATATATAATATAAAATATTATGTACGTAATATTTATGTAAATATATATTATATTACACGTAATATTTTTATATATAATATATATTATATATAAAAATATAATATATAATAAAGAATATTATGTACGTAATATTTATGTACATATATATTATATTACACATAATTTTTAAATTTTTATACTAATATTTTTATATATAATATATTTTATATTATATATAATATGTAATATAAAATATTATGTACGTAATATTTATGTTCATATATATTATATCACACAATATTTTTATATATAATATATTTTATATTATATATGATGTAATATTTATGTAAATATATATTATATTACACATAATATTTTTATATATAATATATAATATAAAATATTATGTACGTAATATTTATGTACATATATATTATATTACACATAATTTTTAAATTTTTATACTAATATTTTTATATATAATATATTTTATATTACATATAATATGTAATATAAAATATTATGTACGTAATATTTATGTACATATATATTATATCACACAATATTTTTATATATAATATATTTTATATTATATATAATATATGTAATTATGTATTAAATACGACTGTGTATTATATTTCATGAAATTACGCACGTGGCCTCGAATTTCACGGCCGCCTCTCGTCAAGGTGAAAATTTCGAAATCCTTACGGAATCGTTACGGAATCCCTAGAGAAAAACCAGGAAAATGGAATTCGGGAAAATGAACGAGTTTGACGAATGCGAGTTACCTTGCGAAGGAAAGTTCCAAGCGAGATAAGAAATGACAGTGGAGTTCTACGTAGCAGTGTATCGACATTTTTATATCGGATAAAGTTACTCGCGACAGCTAGGAAGTTTGGTTGTTTGATTTGTTGGAATGCTTGTACAGCAATTAAGAAAGAAAAGTGAAAATTGAACACTGAATTATCCTCTTACTAAATGACATCAATGACAGTCGGATGATTTCAATTTACGACACAATTAAAAATTTAATCGCCCGCGCTGTGTTATAAATTATGGAATATTTCGTCATTATGAAACTTTCTGTACAATCGCATTTCAATCATCAGTCATGGGATTCCGATCACTTAATCGGTTGAAATTCCCGACGTTCAAATTTAATATATTCGTTATCTGATTGAAAAATACTATCCTCTCTCGTAAACGAGAAAAATGATATTTATCCGTTCAATGCGAGAATAGCTGACTCTCGTTCGTCTTTCGTTTTTCTAATTTAATCCTTTCGTGTCACATCGACATAAAACGAATGCCTATTGATGATAAAATTGATGAGAAATGAGTGCCTATAATGAAGAGATAAATAACTGAATATACAAATTAACAATAAACGGATTAAATTTCTATGTTCAATTATATATAAGATTCACGCAAATCCCAGTATCAAGCGATCTTATACTGTGTAGTTTTGATCATTGTTACAGCTATGTACGAAATTATAGACGCATTTTCGAAAAATATAATTATTACTATACATAATTTATATTATATTGTGTATGGTAATATTTATATTTTATTAGAAATGTATATATAGTCGTTATATTAAATGTATAGCAATTATAGTAAATATAATTATTATAGTAATCATAGTAAGCGTATAGTAATATTTATATTATATTATATATTATGAAGATATCAAGAAAATATTTGAAAATAAACTATATCTATAGTTCTAGCGACTTTGTTATCAAAAATATCAAAATTATATGCTATGTCTTTAAAAGATCATTGAGTCTCATTTCTGCACTTGCTGCACGTGCTGCAGAATAATATAACAAGGACACTCCAGCTCGTTCTGTCTACTTTATTGTTACAGTTTCCCTCTACCTATTACTTTATTCCATTATTTTATACTATATTTATTTCATCAAGGAATCGTCATTATTACCTATCTCTATTACAGTAACCTTTTATCCTATCTAATATCTATTGTCATTAATACTTATCTCTATTAATGTAATTACTTATTATTAATTACTAACGTAATTAAAAAATATTTATCTACTACTGTCTTCATCTTATTTATCCTGTTATTTATTATTTTTTAATTATTAATATAATTAAAAAATATTTATCTACTACTGTCTTCATCTTATTTATCCTGTTATTTGTCACTGTAATTGTTATATTCATATATCATATTCTTATTATATTATATTCATATTGTGTTCTTACTCATCTTCATTTTATTTGTCATATTCCATAAAATTAATTAGTTACTAAATAATTATGAAATTTTTGGTACATGTTAGCAACGACCCTGACCTTCACATACATGTTCATACATTCTGAAATAATCTCCAATGGCCGTCGCTCGTTATTCGTTAAAAAGTCATTAACAGCAAAAAAAAAATTTACGTCATTATTATATATGTGTACGTAATGAGAAGGTTGATAATTTTAATACGAAATATATACAAAAATGAAATGTTAATACGTTCAATTAATTATTCATCGCATACATTTTATTCGTTACATCAAAAAAATAATCAATACGTTTATCGAAAGCGTGTGTAGTCATTCAAATAAAAATTTAACGATATGATGTTTGTAATGGCACTCTTAACGTTTCTGTAATATTCATTAACGAAGTTGCCGGCCGGGAAATTTATCTGACCCATGCCAATAATAATTCAAACAAAATAATTAGCTTCTTTTAAAAGAAAAGCACCTGGGATTAAATAAATCCTAGCAAAACTGAAATTTGTGTTACTGAAATACAACATTTCATTTAGTAAAACTTAAAAATTTAAATTTTAGTATTTTTTTTTTTAATTCAGCAAAATTTTACTAATAACTTTTTAGTTATTAAGACAGTGTATGTCAAGGTCAAGGCTATCGAAGCTGGATTCTTTTCTTCCTTTCTTGAAAATCTTTTTCTCTCCTTAAATAAGTGTCTTTTTCCTTTTTCTAAATAATATCTTCTTCGTTTTTAGTTTGACGTTGACTTTTTCTTTTCTTTCCTTCTCTTCTCTCTCTCTCTCTCTCTCTATCTTTTTTTTTAAAGAAAGTATTTCCTTCGTTTATTTCATACGAATAAACATTTTCTAAGAAAAATGTTACATCATTGTTTCTTTCGTTAACGTTTAATACACTCTGATTTATTGTTTCTTTCTAAGACGTTTAATACTCTTCGAACCGATCAATATCTATGCAGATCTCCAAGGATTTCACAATAATGTTTAGATACTTTACAGTGTCTACGTACTCTGCAAGTTTGTCTTCCTTACACTCGGTGAATCGAATAATGACGATAACAAAATCCTACGGGAACGCTGTTGACACGATCGCTATACTTTTTTTAAAACAAAAAAGATCTACGAGAATTTCAAAACTACGTCATTTGATTTTCATATTTATATCACATCTCCGTATTTTTCTTGGTGTACCTATCGTGACGTATTTGTCACCGTAGACTAGTAGAAATTATTCTCACAAGTATATAAACAAATAAATAGTCAGTAATAAATAACAAGTTGACACAAGAAACGTGGATTAAATGCACCAAGTAAACAAGAATAAAAAAAAAAAAGACTTAGAGCTGTCGGTTCGCGTGAAATCGGCGCAACTGGTAAACAGGTAGTTTGAAGAACAACTACTCGGTGAGAAAGACGAGCAGGAGAACGCGCTCCAAAGGGATCAGGCGTCTCGACGCCTGCGTCGGATGGCTCAGTAGTCGGCGAGTCGTGCTGGACATCGGACGTCGAGCACAACGCCGAGTCGTTCCACTTGTTCGCGGGCTCTGACGTTCCGAAAAACAAACGAAAGGGAACGAATCTTGCAAAATTTTTCATTTTCGGGCGTCGCGCGCTGCACGAGTCCCGAAGGATCACTCGAGTCTTTTTTCAATTCACTGAATACCTACGAAGTTTCAAACAGAACGGAGAGAAACAATCGGGAAAACAAGAAGAACCAGAACTGCGGAGGTTGCAAGTCGAAGAGTCGCGTACGCGGAAGTTTCGTTAAGTAAGGAAAGGGTTGGAAAGTTGCGAGACTTTAGAACAAAGTGGCATGAGGAATCGAGGATCGGTGTAACAAAAGTTGAGGATATTCGATAGATGGTTTGTTTACAGTGTAGAGTCAGTGATCTGGCGACCCGTGGCACGGTGAAAACAGTGCTCGTAAGTAAAACAAGTAACATCTCGCGAGATCGACAGTTCGATCGTTGAGATCCCGATCTTCAAAAAAGATCCACCGAAACGAGCTTTCGGAGGTAGTTTGTTGAAAGTTGTGTTTGGAAGCAGAGGGAAGGACAGGTAATTTTCCCGCGGCGTTTTCATTATTCACCGGGTCCCAACGGCTTGTCCAACTTGATAAAGGATTATTCCGTTTCAAAAGTGATATTCGCGGTAATAGAACGCGAGTTCTCGCCGAGGCGGACAATTCAGTTGACGTGCAGCGGCGGGGGGGAAAAGAGGGGAAAGGGGATAAAGGCTTGATTCAATCGCGTCGCGTCGTGGAAAGAAAAGATTGTCGGGGGAAATTGAACGATTCAGACCGGGGAGCAAGCTTTCGTGAATTCAAGAATGAAGCTTTGGTCAGGGGCTTTCGTTTAGCTGAACTCCAGCTTTAACGAAAGTTTAATTGAAGTGTAATAAAAACGAACTCCTGCTGAATTTACCTCTATCTATCATATGAATGAATAGACAAACAGCACTTGGACGCAAACCACTTTAATTTTCGTCGCTTCATCCTTCGTTTCAAGCCAACGTACACACTTTACAGACGTTGTATAACAATTGGATATGAATGAAAAATTGCAATTCTTTAAAATTAAAACGTTGTACGTGCTCCTTTAATCACTTGCGCTGGCAACTGATTGCGGACCATAACGAGTGACCGAACAATAACGTATACGATAATTCGTCGCTTTCATTTTGAAACTCGGTGTGACATCGTTGGATCGAAATTATTGAGAAGTAATAAACTTATTCATTTGTTTTGCCTATTTTGTTTTTACTTAAAACTGAGAAAATCTGACAATCTTCGAACGAAAAATTGTCGACGTGCGTGTCACGTCATTCCAGCGCAAGAGGTTAAATTCATAGATAAATAATCAGAGAAGTGAAATTGTCACAAAATACAATAGATACAAATTAGAATATATATATAATATCAGGGCAATGAACACTCTTACTATATAAATTCCAAGTTTCCTCCAATGAAACGTGGAATTCCACCGGTTATATATGCGTTTGCGTTCGTTTTTATTCTCTTCTTTCTTTTTCTTTTGGTCAACAAAAGTTACACGTTGTTTTCGGTCGACGGCATAAACCATCCGAGTGAAATACGTATGCAAATACGAACGCTGGTATCGAGAATTCCTGTACTCGACTTCACATGACGTGACACGACGTGGCAGGAAGCATCTCGTTGTTCTTGTGCGAGGATACTCATGAAAAATGTATGAGCCGGCGAAATACCATGGTTTATAGAATTTCGAGATGGCCCAAAAACCGAGTGGACGGGGTTCACCCTGTTAGAAATTTATTCGCCTGGCAGCTGTTCGTCGTAGGGGCGAATAATTCACCAGCCAATAAGAGGGACAATTCCCTATCACCCGGTTCTTGAATTTTGAGACAACGTTGGTCTCGTGACAATCTCCGAATTAATTCGAGATTAACTGTGCCTCGATTCTTACTCGAAATTCATCTGGACATGTTACATTTAACTGGAGGAGCACGTGGACACGTTGAAAATTAAATTGGGAGAGACAATTCGTCGTACGAATTGCAAATTGCAATTGGATTAATCGAGCAAAGTTCTGTCACCACATTTCGTTTGTATTCGCGATTATGTCGTTTAACACGAGAAACCCTACACACATGTTTCGTCTATAGGACAATATATATTCAATTTCTGCAAGATATTGCATCACAGTGAAGTACAATGAAAGCGTATTCTTCGATCCGTTATCTAATCATTTATGTTACTTTGAATTCTTCGTTAGTGATGCTCGTCTCGTTGCTCATACAGATAGAAACGCGTTAAATAAATTAATTTATTAACGGTGGCCCTTTGACATGATAAAAGGAAAACGGTAGGTACGAAGGTAGCGAAGCTCAAAATGAAACACAAAGCAGACGAGAGTATAAAATAAATACAAGGTAATAGAATACAATACGTTGGAAGTAATGATGCAAAACAAACAAGAACAAAAGAAAAGAGCGTAGAAGCGTTAATTAATTAATTAAATGGATCAATATTCAGATTCAAATTCACTGAGATTATTCAGATATACGGCTTGTTTAAAGAAGTTAAGCGGCAAAGTTTATGTTCTCGGTAGAGAGATTGAAATTGGTAGAATTTACTCTAAATATGGTATTTTTCAATGAATACGGTATTTGTTATTATACAATGAATAAATTTATTATTATTATTATTAAATAATTTCATCATCTGTTGTTGAAAACTTTGCAGAAAATTTTGCACAAAATTTGTTAGACCAAAAAAATTTTCGTACAACTTTCCATACTTCAATATATATAATTTCATGTTAAAAATGGAACATTTAATGGTTTAAATGAATTATCAATGCTATCGTAGGTCAATTACAGACGTACACACATCGAAAAATTAACCTTTTAACTTTGTTATTCTGTTGAGTATAAAAAGCATTTATACTTTGAATTTCGAACAGATCTTTATATTATTGTTAATTATTTAGTTTATTAACTATTGACTTACACAATGTCCATCTGATCTAAATTGTTGAATTTACTTTCTTTTATATATATATAAAATTTAAAATTAATATAATTAAATAAAGTTTTTATAAAAATATATTTTCGTAATAATTAAAAATTAATAATATTATGAAAATGAATTTCTTAAAAAATTAATAACTAAAATTTATTTTGCATCTTTTGTATCAGGGTTAATTAATTAATTTGAATAATTTTAATTACCTCGAAAGTAAATGATCTATATATATATATATACTTTTTTTGTAAAGTAAAAAAAAATAAATGTATATTTAGAAATTAAATGTTTGTCGTATTTATTAATATCTTTTTTAAATAAATTTAATTTACATATAATATTTAATCTCTGTGGAAATTACTTCGTTCCAGTACTCCATTCATGTGCTGAATGCTATTGTTACGACTTCGTAAGCCAAAACAATAACAGAGTTAATCTTTTGGTCAATCCAATACTGTACGTTCGGATCGTTAATCATCGGCAGAAAATCTTTATGGCGCATTCGTTTAAATTATTAACGAGCTCGATCATCAATCTAAATAATCAGTTTTAGTTCAGAAAGAAACAGCGTGATCGAGCGGAATTATAAAAAGATCCTAAAAAATGCTGAAAATTTCGCACACTACGTTCTATTTGCAAGGCGAGTTCGTTAAGCCAACTTGGAAATCGTCGTAAATTCCAAGAGGATTCAGGGACTTTCGTGAATATCCGATCCGTTGATCGTCGACGATGGTTCGTACTCGTTCGAACGAGCTTCACGTAACGAGAAAATCTCGGTGAATTGCAAGGATCAAGCCTTGGGGTAACTAACGAGAAAGTTTCAATCGTCAAAGTTGACGACTTATCAGCCACCGATATTGAATGCGAACGAAACTTACTTAGGCCAAATACGAACTTGGGTAGGATTCGAGTCTTCTACGATTGGAGATCCACTGGATTCTGTTTGAATTCCAATTAAGCGAAAGAGAAATTCCCTCGTGCTCGTAAAATGACGATTGTATGTTCTGATAGAGAGGGAATAATCTATTCCTAATTAGTTTGAAAAGTGAAAAGTGTACAGTTTTAAACTCTCGACGTATATTGAGAAACTTCTAACTGCTGTTCGACTGTAGGCGTGATTTTAAAAGATAAAGAGCATAACTGGATCGATAAACGATAAAAAATTATTGTCGTGAAAAAAAGAGAAAATCGTACAATCTATTTGGCTTCGTTTTAGAGGTGTTTTTTTTTTCACATCATGCAACGACTGGGAAAGTTTGTTCTCGGAAATTAAAGAAATTCAAATGTCTCTGAGATCACAGAAATATTTTTTTTTTTTTTTTTATGACTAAGTCCACTACGTTTTTTGAAGATCGAAATCTCCTCTTTATAACGATCCCTTAAAACTTTACGACATTTAATCTCTTAAATACGATTTTTTTTTCCACCATTTTCAATTAGGATTAGACAATGAAATTTCTTGAATTTTAGAATTTTTATCGTTTTTATTCAAATGATGGTGTATTCAATCACAAAGAAAATTTTTCTATATGTTTAGTGACATATAGAATTAAATTTCTCGACAGCGAAATTGTTCTTGCTTTTGCAATCGCTGCATGAGAATTATCATTAAAACATCTCTGAAAATTCAGTCAAAGTGCGGAGGCTTTGTGCTTTAAACTAACGTCAAGTGGATTGTTAGATGATTTCTTGTTACGATGTTGCAACTTATAACTTCACTATCATCGGTTTGATTACATTATTATTAAATAATTCATCTGAATCCATGGTGGAAAAAAATCGTGTAAAAAGGTTTTATAAAAGAGAAAATCTTAATCTCCAAAACCATAGCAGATTTTTATTTAAAAAAAAAAATGTTTTAACGTTTTTACATACAAATTTAAATTTTTTGTACAATTTTTGAGAAAAAAAGTGAATCGTTATATGATCTTTTTTTACGACATTGATTTAAATTATCGACAATTTTTCATCGTCATTGGTACGCTCTTCGCTGTATTATGTCCTACATAATACTTTTAGTCTTCAAGTTATAGATGATTGAAGAAAATGTTCAATACGTCCTCTTTTGTGTCACAGCACATAACACTGGCATGCTTCGGCGTCATGTTCCGCAATCGCTCGAAAATACCAGATATTCCTCGAATAGTCTCAAATCCATTCTGAATTCTTTTTTCGCGCGTCATCTATTGAATAAGCAAACAAAGTTTTTAAAATGAAAGTTTTACACAATAGCGATAAAAGTTAAATAAAAGCATTATTCGATAATTCATATTGACAGATCACTGTCACGTTGATTAAATAAATAAATTTATGTGACACTTTTTACTTACGATCATAATAGTCGTGAAAATTTCAAAACGTGTTATATAACGCGCATGGTAAAAGAAATTGATAAAAAAAATTCCTACGAGCGAAATTG